TAGCTACGGTAGCCAAGTGCAGACTCTGAGGACAAACTGTACCCCCAGATTTGCTTTGGCTTCCCTTGCCTTGTGACTGGTACACACCAGGTCACCACAACCCAGATGGGCCCACAGCCCACAGCACAGTATGTACCTCGATCTCCTCTCCCCTCTCCGCAGGGCCTGCAACATGAGCATCCCTGACTACGTACAGTGTGCTGAGGACTATGAGACTCTTCCCGTGGTGGTCCAACACGTGGGGATCATCTCAGAGGAGAATTTCTTTTGCATCTATAAGCGAATCTCCTCGGTGAGCCAGATCAGCCCGTGCAGCTCCCAGTGGGCACTCTGTATCCACTACAGGCACCACTATGCACCCGAGAATGGGTGGAGGGAGTTCCAGGCACACCGCAAGGTCGTGGGCCTTGTCACCATACCTCTCGGCCAAGGCCTTTGAGAAGCTCCACGTGCAGAGGAGCTGTATGGCACCACACTAAGTGACTCTCAGCTCTTTGTCTTTGTGCTGCATGAGGAGGTAGACGAGCAGTCACTCACCAACGTGGCCTTCAATCTACGAGGACTGCAGGGTGGTGGAGAAGAGGATCGAGGACTTCACAGAGTCACTCCTCATCTTGCCCAAGTCCAAGTAGCTGGATGGGGCCCCCGACATATCTGGGGACAAGATCACCCTCCTCTGCATCCCGTTTGAGAAGGAGGACGTCATGGGACTGGAGACAGACAGCAGGTAAGTTTACCTGGAGGCCAGTCCACCCTTGCTGTGTGCCGGGTTTCTTCCCTACATCCAGAAAGGGATCAGCAAGGAAGAGGACTGTCTTGTAGCCAAGGGGTGAGGGAGGGGCAGCCCGCCGGTTTACAGACATTTAAAAGTGAATCTGCCTTTGTTTCAGAGAGATCCTTTTAGGGTTAGTGTGGACACTTACTCCCCCTTTTCAGTCAGTCCCCTGGTGGGACCCCTGGAGTTGCTGTCCAATATAGTAGCCACAGTCACTGATGCTACGAGCACTGGGGAGGAGGCTGGTCTGTGTTGAGATGTGCTTTAGGTCAAATGCACATCAGACGCTGAGGTTTGTCTAGTAAAAGAATATAAGCTTTCATGCTACTTCCTATATTGATTACATGTCAAAATGTTAGTATATTAAATACAGTAAATTAAGTAAGATCTGTTCTTAAAATCTGTTTCTAGTATTTGTTTTTTGTTTGTTGGTTTGTTTCTTTGTTTACCGTTTTAAATGTGGCAACTGGGAAACTTTCTTTACATGGCTCTCACTTCATTTTTGTTGGGCAGCCTGTCCTGAGACAGTCTCAACACTTTGCTTATAGATGAGATGCTGAATCCCGAGAGGCAGAACGAGGCGCTGGTTGAGCTGGGGCTGGAGCCAGTGTCTCCTGCCCCCCAGGCCCAGCACCTGTTCGGCTCAGGCCCTCTCTTCCTGCCCGACAGCCACCATGCCAGGTTTGGATTTCAGAAACACTGCCAGGGACTTCCGAATTAACTCCTAATGCAGGGAAAGGCGTATCACGGAGTATGGTAGAGAACAGAGAAATGCTCATTCTCACTTTGTCACTGTGATTAAGTCAACGGCCCCACTTTGCCTTGGAAGTGCAGACGAGCTCTTCTGGTCTGCCCACCTTCTGCTCTGTTTCCCCGTGTATCTATCGTGCTGTCCCTCATGCAGAAGAGGGTGAGATGCCTTTGCCGAGAGGTGGTCCCCCTTTGCTGGGGAGAGTGAGCGAAGCTGTGTCCCCCCAGCCTACGGCCTCGGTCCTTGAGTCTGGAGATCGCTCATGGCGGTCCCACAGGTGACGGTCGGAGGACCTGGTACATGCTGCCGGGCCCGCTGTGGAGGCGGTGCTCTGTGATTCTTGAACTTAACTAAGATCAGATTCTACTTTCTGGTTGTTGGTAAGTTGGAGGAGAAGATGCCAGATAATTGATAAAAAGAATGTCGAGACCAGCCCTGTGAGTGATAGGCAGAGGGGACCCGAGTCCCACCTGCGTGAGGTGCCTATTGGGCTCTGGATGAATTTTCTGTTCCTCCCAGACATACCTCTATGGCTTAAGGAAGGGGCAAGTCATGTCGTGTCCATGATCTGTACTTGTCCTCACAGGGCCCTGTGATCTACATGCCCGCACTCCCCTTCTGCTCCTTGGAGATGAGGTGTCAGGTTTAGGAACCTGGGCACTGCTGGGAGCATAGCTGCCAGCACCGTGCTACACAAAGGCTGGCTCCATTCACCTAACCTGTCACCACCTGCTGAGTCCCAAGGCGTCAGTCAAGGTAGGTGCATCGGTGCAACATAAGCAGGGACCACCTTCTCCCCCTGGACAGACTGGTGGGTGAGCAGTCAAAGCCCAGAGCCCTTCCCCAGCCCCCAGGCCAGTGCCTCCTCTTTTGTCATAGGAGGCACTGGTGACATTTTTGCTCAGCAACTGCTTCGCTCTGAGTCTAAAAACACACCAGAGAATGTCAGCTTGATTTTGACTTTTGAAGTCTGCCCTTGGGATTTGGCGGAGTAGCTGGATATGTGCTTAGCCCATAGTGGAAGACACTGTCACCATTGTTTACCCAGAACCTCGTGTACCACGCATGGCTCCAGGCATCAAATACAGCAGCGCATTAAACCTCCCTCCTTGTGGGTCTTTCTGTTCTGGTACCATAAGGGCTCAGCCAGCATCTTAACGTCAGTGAGTTAACGCGACCAGTGAGCTCGGGTCAAGCACATTCTCTTCCAGTCATTTTATTCCATTGTTGCTTTTTCTATTCCACAGTCATTAATTTATAAAGCAATGCTTTGGTGCAGGAGAAGAGCCTAATTCTCTCCTGCTACTCGTGGTGGAAGTGAGCCTGAAATGTGACCACAATTTGTAGCTCAAAAGCTGCCTAGATACATGTAGGTGGAGTTTTGGTTAGGGGCGCTGACCACGCTGGGGTCCCCCGGCAGCGCCGCTCCCCTCAGGCCCCTGCCTCCCCTGGAGCAGGAGGTGAGGGTGGGTCTCACCGTCCCCGCGTCCCTGGCCTCACACACTCTCGTAAATTCATGTACATGCTGTAAAAATCATTTTTCTTCTTGTGTGTTTTTAATTATCTCTTGTTCCTCTTCTCCTTATTCTTCGTTCATTTTTCTCTTGTACTGCCCAGTGAGCATGTTGTTGCTTCTGAAAATGTGGGCTGTGCACACCCTGCATTGGGAATAGCCAGATCGCCCTCCGTGCTGTCTCCATCGCTTTAAAAAGCAAAAACTTAACAGATGCCTTGATCCGTGTATTATCCTAGTCATCTTTTTAATTTCTAATTTTTTGGAATATTTGCTTTGTTAGCACATCACCCACTGGTGTTTGATACCTGTTAAAATCCTTGCTTTGAGGTACATGTTTGGTCCTCCTTATATTTGGTGACAAATGCGCCCTTATTAAACTTGTTTGATTGTTTTGAAGAAGTGAGATGCGAATTGATTAAGGCGGCTGCTGAGGGATTCTTTTCATGGAGAATTTAAACTTGGAAAGTCAAAGTCTGCAGCAGCTTGCTCGATTCCTGCTTTTACACAAACGTGCTCGGCACGCGGTTCCTGGCTGTCGCTGTGTACGTGCTTGACGGCGCTTCCTGGCCGGCGGTCACTGATGAGGAAGTGGCAGGCTCGGGATGGAGCAGCTGCAGGGGACGCTGTTGGAGGAAGCAGTCAGTTTTTTTTCCTTTGCATTCAACTTCCCCGTGCCATTTACCTTACTTTGCCTTCATAAAGGGGCAGAAGTGGGTCTAAAATCCATGCCATTCTTTTGTTCCCTTTATGAGGCTGGGTTTTCTGAGTATCAGGACAACATGGCCTTCTCCTAAGTACCTGGCTTACCTGGATCTGTTGGAAACAGGGACTGCAAAAAGGGCCGTAGCTTCCTCTCTGCTCCAGCCAGTGGGCATTCACAGCTGGGTCTGTGGTTTGTCTCAGCAGCCGTGCAGACCTCCCTGCTGTGGCCTTTAATTTTAACCCTTGTTGGCAGTAAATAGCTGAATCCGTGTCTGTTGCAGCTGACGTCCACCACTGACGGCCGTGTCGTTAGTTTGCTGTAGTGAGTCTCCAACACCCCAGTCAACCGTGAAGGAAGATGCTTTGGCCGACCTAGGACCTTGGATTCTCACCCCCACCATGGTTCATCTCACCCGGTGGAAGGGTTTGGCCACCGCCATCATGCTGACCATGAGACATTGTTGCTCCTTTCATGCTCTGGTCCAAATGTGGACACTTCATTTTTCACTGAATTTGTCTCGCTTGGGTCAGGACAGAATATCTGAATGAGTCCATCACATTTTGTGTGGGGAACA